ATGTTGAAATCAGTTTAACAGAAAATTTTTTATTTGCTTTTATCTTCCCCTTTTTGGCTTTTTAATTTTCTTCTTTGCTCTTATTTTTATTTATTTGCCTTTAAGCTTGCCTTGTGTCTGCGTCTTTCTAGCAGAGGTCGAAAAAAAGACCCCGGAGGTCCAGAAAAAGATCTCGCGGGGTCCGAAAAAAGATCCGGGGTCAGCTACAAGATGTTTCGGAGCCGAGGAAAAGACCGCTCAAAATAATGCATAGGGGTTGAAAAAGAGATCGTGCTCTTTTTCTAGGCCTCATCGCGGGGCCGAAAAAAAGATAGAGGTCGAAAAAAAGACATACCGCGGTCGAAAACAAGATGGACCAACTGCGCGGTCTGGAAAAAGACATTTCGAAAAAAAGAGCAGCCTTTTTTTTCTGTATGTCAACGGTTGCTCTCTTTTTGCGTGCCAGGTACGGTCTAATGATGTGGTCCTCGCTGAGGCTTTGGCTCCGCGGTTATTGATGCAGAAAAGGTTGAAGCGAGATGAAATCGACTGGGCCAGACCCAACCCATTGCACGGTTTTGTGTGCGCCACGATCTTTTGGACTGAAGGTAAGTGTTTTGGTGTGAGAATTTCCTTGATCTCAATAAACACAACAAAGAAAATTACATTTATGTGGATGTTTTCTGGATGCTTGGCTGCTGTGGGCATGGATGGGTTTGTTCGTACCAGATTCCATGTGCAACAAGAATCCATGACGTGTCACACAACGCATGTGCAATGTTTGCAACTTGCTGGCTGTGTTTTGAACCAATGTTTCAAGCTTGATTTCAATTGTCTGTCGTTGCTGGGAATAACACCAGTGTGTTCGTCATGTGTCTGCGGCTCTTGACTAGTCCAATTCATGCAAGCATTGATTGCGTTTGTGCATGTGCCCGACAGCATGTTGACTTGGCCAGCCCCCACGAAGGAACCGCATCGTTGTCCGCAGGCAAGATGGAGCAGTTCTGTTGTGACAGTGTTGTGTTTGTGTAAACATGGGCAAGACGGGTCGGTGGCTGTTGCCATGTTTTGCACTTGCCAGTTTGATAATCGCCGCTCAGACGCAATGTCCGTGCAGTCTTACACTTACGTAGTTTTGTGGGTGATGCATTGCAGAGAAAAGGGACACCTGAGGTGGTTTGGCATGTATTGCCAGTACCGTCAAGTGCGACACCAGGCTTGGCCGGGGGGCTCTTTTTTTGTGGGATTAGCGCTTGATAAGGCATTGCTCCACTATTGTCGCAAAGGACTCCGGTTCCAAGCAGCAGCTTCCATGATGACCATGGCGTGCCCAAGTTGAAAAGCTCAACACGGCAATAGGACAGAATCCACAACCAGTCATGGCAAATCTTTGCAGGAAGTGCGCGAGTTCCAGAAGAGACGCAGCTTTGACGAAGTCAAAACGTCAGCCGTGCGGTTTCGTTCGTTTTTGTTGGCATGAGGTTCAGCTTGCGCAGCTTGTGTTTGTTTCGTGACTCAGTGGAACTTGTGACACACTGTGGTAGGCTTTGAATGCTGGAGTGAACCCGAGTATTTTGTGTGAAGATTAGATTAGAACTGTTGCTGCAATCAGAGCTCGCATCGCCAAAGTCCGACTCACAAGTTCCAAACCTGAACGGCTTCCAGCAGTGTAAGTGCAACTTGGGGACTGGAGCTTTCCCTGATCGAACCAAACTTTGCTTGCTGAAGGTTTGTGGCCGTTTCGCCTCCTCGGTTTCGGCACGCCCGAAGCCGGGCTGCTGTTCCACCAACGTCACGAAGCGCCCTACCAGAGGCCGGATCGTAGTAAGGTTATGACATCCAATCGTATGTGCTGCTTCAGTGCAGAAACCCGGATTGATGTGCTTCCTCTTGAAGTATTGAGAACTGTGCTTCCATGCTTAGAGAAGCTCGTGTAGATGTGTCGCCATGTCCTTCCAGGTTTCCCTCGTTCTGGCAGATTTGCAGCCAACTCCAACCGTCGGGCGCTGTGCCGCATGTAAACTGGCGGAGAGTTTGTTGGGATGAAGGAGGGCCCCTTCCAAGGGCATGAAATCCTTTGATAACGCTCGACCTAGGTCGTGTCTTCTGCCTTCAATGTCATCACTTTCCTGCCGCAGTGACCATGACCATTTCACGGGAACGTGTGCTTTTTCTGCCAACGTCGTCCAGATGATACTCAGTGTTGAGTGATGCCAGAGTATGAAGTCAGTGCTGGATTGAGTGAATCGCTCATAATGGTAGCTCCCAGTGGACAGATGCAGGTACTTGTGGCTGTTAATGGTGCTAGCACCGAACTGGTCCGTCACCAGGTGGGCTGCTGAACAGTGTCTTTCCGTATGCACGTGCGTATACACCTGTCGAACAGTGTTGCAAGACTGAAGTCACTTTCGCCGCTCCCGTTGTCAGGAAAATCATGGAGCCTTTGTGGCCTGTGCTACTTTTCGCCGCGGTGCATATCTTCATCGTGCTCAATGTGGCTTCGGTAAACAGCGACTTGACCTGAACGTCTCGTGTTCTAAACGCCTAAGCCAACCCAATAAACTCCAAAGCGCCGGGCAACTCCTGAGGTGACAACTTGTCCGACTTCACTGAGCTGGCGAAGGTTTTCGATCCCAGAGTCAGTGATGCGCTCAGTTCGTGATCCCCGCTAAGTCCGTGCTCGTTCCGAGCGAACGGTTCTCTTGGTCTTGCACAATCCGTGTGCTTTGATGTGACGTGCTTCAGAGGTTGTCACCGGGTGGTCCATGTTATAAATCCCACTGTTCACAGCTCTGCCGCTCCGGCTCGACAGATATGTGTAGCGCAGAGGCAGAGTCAAACGGAGCTGTGCCAAGCCAAAGCTGTGTTCCTCTGTAGCCATGCCATGCGCCGGCTGTTCCGAGGATTCCGAGCCTTCGCCCTCGGGATGGCCGTGGGGATTTCGGGACTCTTCATGTCAAGGTTGGGCTTAAGCAGACCACTGTGACTCTGTCTCCCATGCCTCCCTACCTCTCTATCTCACTGTCTTGCTCGCATCTCATAAGTCCTTGTGGGTCTCTCTTCGTCTGCACATCGTACCATATGCAAGCACGGGCTCAGTTCGTTCAGGCACCTGTGCTATCGATATGGCATGAATCGTCAATCTATCTTGCACCATCACATCGTGCTGCGCAAGCCAGTGCAGTGCCAAGGCTACCCCGTTGCTTGACAGGTATTTCATGGGCCGTGGCAATGATGCACGCAGACGTGCAGGAATGCAGCCTGGCTGTTGTCTGGGTGGAGTGAGGATAGTGGGCTTAGGACAGAGTCTTTAGGTGTTTTGCTGGAAATGGCTGCCGAGCCGTGTAGGAGATACAACACTTATGGAAAGCTAGCTGTGCTGGCAGGGTGCTTTGCAGGACTCCCTTGTGAAAGAAATTGGCAAGCAAATAAGAAAGGGTTGCCCCATGGATCATCTCAAGTTGTCATCTTGCACTAGCAGCAGCTAGCTCGCACGCACTTGAGGCAGCTGCTACACTGGCTGCAGCAAGACAGTGGTGCGCAACCGCCGCTTGCAGGAGCAAGGGCGTTCTTCGCATTGGTCGCAAGGGCGTGTGTGTGTGGCGCAAGTTATATGTAGCAAGAAGCACGGAGACGGGACTTGGCTTTGCTTGGTTGTCGTTAAGCTCACGAAGCAAGCAGAAGTGCCACACCCGAAGTGTCAGGAGACCAGGTGGATGCACACCAGCCCGCACAGCAGAGCGATCCAGGCCGGAATGGCGACGTTTTTTTGAAACACCTGCATGCAGGTCCCAATTTGTTTTGTTTCAAGGCGCAACAGGGATCGTGAATCCGTGACCAGGCCAGGCGGAGAAGGTGTCGTCAGCAACCATGCAGAGCTCCTATGCAGGGAGTGCCTCGGCGCCAGTGAGGCTTGCTCTTACCCAAGGGGCTATCTTTGCAACGTTCTTTGAATTCTCTCCGCTTTTCAACAAGGTCCTGTGGCGCCCGGAAGCCTGTGGCTTGGGAACACACCCTCCCAAGAGCCTTGTCTTCTACGCCTTAGAGCACCAGCGACGAGGACGTCGGACTCTCCATGCCCAACACGTCTAGCGCTTAACCATTCTACGAGACCTTCGCGCTATTCGGTTCCTTTTCCAAGATACTTGGCCTTGGTACCACCCCTCGCATTTTCCGTAGTCTGGAAGCCCTGCAGCGGTTCATTACAGCTACCGACACCTCAGTTTTCTGCTCGTTTCCCAGAGTCGTTTCTTGAAGCCCCAATGCCACCCGCCGTTCCACTCTCCGTCCCTCGCAAGCCAAGGAGCTCTCGGCTGCCGAGGTGGACGCCATGGCCGCCCCGCCGGCACAGCCTCGTCCCTCGAGGATTCACTCACGTCCCCCGCGGAATCGTACGCTCACTGAGACGAGTGCAGGAACCACGACTTTGTCCTTTGTGCGAACGTAGCAGGCCAGGCGGGTTGTCAGCGCGTATGGGTTCTCTTAGCGCCGTGTCTGTCCCCAAAAGTTTCAGCACAAGCATGCCCCGCAGCTCTGTTGTGGCTCGTGTCGAGTCTGGCACCTTGGAAGGAACTCTGGGCAGCTCGCTGCAAGCCGCAAAGGCAGTGGCACTTGGTTGGTGATTTATCAAACCCAAATGCTCTTTGACTGGTTCACGCTTTCGGAGTTCCTCCTGATGCCGATGGGATTTCTGACATGAGATAGCTGATAGCTCCGTCCAACAGAAACAACGATCTAGCGCATGAAGCATCGTTCGTGCCGCAGGCCTTCTTCACGATCGCCTCCAGGATCCGGCAGAGGCGTGGATCCAAGCAGTCCCATGCGTGTAGCCTTCGGGTCCCAACTTCAACCATTAGAATTGCACGGTCTCCGTCACGCTCAAGGTTGCAGCTCGTGAAGTGTAGATCCGAAACTGCTGTTTGTAATTCTCGAGCACGGCCCAACCAATTAACATTCGTGATGTCATGCAGGGGATGGCGTGTTCGAGTGCTTCTTCCAGCCATCGGCGGCACGGAGTTCGACAATGTCCGCCTGGATGAGAAGAATGGCACCTCCTTGGCCAAGGTGCTGGATTTGCGGCTCGACCCGAAACCATTGTCAGGATACTCTAGGGTACCCTTATCGGACTTGACAGCACGGGCTTAGTAGAATCACAGCTTTGAAGCAACATGTCCAAGAAGTCGTTAGGCGCGTTGAGGCAGCGTCGAGAGCTTCTCCGTGGGCAACGTGTATTGTATCGTGTACAAATGTGATGGTGATGAGCGTCACGGTGTGATTTTCAGTTAGAGTTCAAAGCTTATTATTTTCTGCTTTGTTTGGCACAAGGACGCCACTTCGCAAGCTTCTAGACATTGACGAGGACGCCGCCTGATGTCGCCTGCAGGGCTGCAAGTCGGGGCTGTTGCGATGTGTGTGGTCATGGGACCACCTGTTGTGGAGGACTCTGCTGCCACGCTTGAAAAACAGAAGAAGGTTTGTTGGGAGAAGGGCGCGGATGTCTCCGTGCCACCTGTCCGCAAGTCCGGGATGTCTGCACAGTGCCACGAAGGTAGTGCAGGATCTTGCTTCCTGTGCACTCAACTGCAGGTTCAGCTTGGTTCAGATACGTACCGAACAGCTCCGTGGCGTGACAGTGCCCCACATTTGGCTAGGCGGGAGAGTGGGCACATAGCCTTGAACATGCGGACCGCAGCGGCAAACGTGGCTACTTGGGCAGTTCATCCATGTGACAGGGCCAGGATATGAACGGTGGATGTTCGAGCAACTGTTTGACAACCTCGGGACACTTGCGTGACACGGCTGACTGGTGGACTGTCCTCGCGACTTTAACTTTGTGTATTGCCTGGAAATAGTGTCGGTGCGGCCGTTGAATCGTGAGTCTGTTAACGAAACCGAGCCGAGGAATGCACCCAATTTCACTGATGCGATTCGGGTTTTCTGGCAGTTCCCCAGCTTGAGCAAATCCTCGGATGAGAGAAATTCTGCAGAACACCCAAGCAAGCAGCACGGTCATCATGGAGTTTCGGCAATAAGGATGCGGAGCTCCAGCCCGACGGAGTGCAGTCCCTTCGTGTACCCAGATCTGGCATTTGAGGCCGACAGCGGGCTGTACTGGGATTCCTAAAGGTTGGAATCTCAAAGATCTGTCAAAGTCTGCAAAACTCGGGTTGAGGACGTGTCATTCATGTCATGCTGGCTACCATCCGTGAACTTCCGTGAACATCGAATCAAGTGGTGCCCTGGATGTCTTGAAGCTGTCTCAGATTTTTCTTTTCCGCAGTTTGGTGGTGTGCCGATGTCCACACTTGTCGACTTCATATCCTCGGGCCAGACGCCGGCACTACAGCCTTAGACTTAGAAATGGTAAGCCTCCAGTCCAGGAGCCCTGACAAGCATCCATAACCAGGCAGAAGGCCTGCAAAGCCTCTCAAGCTCAAGTTGCAGGTGGGCCAGGCCATGCTCCTGAAGCCACCCGAGAGAGCAGAACCCTGTGCCTTCGTCTACGCTGGGAGCTCGGGGCTGGAAATCAGGTCTGCTTGTTCTCGTCGAGGAATATCAGCTATCGTTAGTTGAGCATGCATGACGAATTCACTGCAGAGCCTTGCCTGACTTGACCGTGAATTGATGGGCTCACTGGAGGCTCCCTGCAAGTGCCGCTTAATTCTGGGGCTGCTTCTCTGTCTTTTCCCGCATGGCAGTTGCTGCAGTACGGCCCGATGATTGTAACCAATCGATGTGGGCGGGTAGATACCCTGCTCCTGCTGCCTGAAGCAGTTTTCGAACCACGGCAACCTCCTTCTTGTGAGTACCCCCAGAACTGCAATTGGAAGTGGAAGCGACGGTACGTCAGCTGCTCAGGTCGGTCCCATCATCCGCCGCGATCGGCTGTGGCACTTGCGGCCAGGGCCAGACTTCACGAAGAGCCTCGAGCTGGATTGGGTGTCCTTCTGACGGTTTCGCTCCCATGTCTAGCTTACAGTCGCTTTGGGTTGACAGTAGTGGGTCTGATATTCTTGAGCTTTGAGGCTGATGCTTCGTTTCAGCTCTCGCTCTGATGGGCTTTTTGACAGAGGGTTTGCCGTCCGCCCCGTCATGGCGAAGGCATAGCTGTACTGGCATGGTTGGTCATTGTTCTGCTTCAGCACTGCAGGTGGTGTCCGCAGTGCTCCTTGCCGAACCTTCCTGCTTGGGTGAATGCCACGGCCAAGAAGATTGGCTCGTTGCTGAAAGAGTGGGGGGCTGAGAGCACAGCGGTTCTGCTCTAATACAATTCTCTGCTGATTTCCGGTTGCTTTTTGGAATACAAAGCAGATTGGTCCAAAGCTCCATTGAAGCAAATCCGAAGCCAGGGCCATGAGGCCAAGACAGCTGGACCTGCCATCCCCCTAAACAGCAGGCAGCAGCTGACCTGCGCCTCTTTCTATGTCCGCCTCCTCGGCCTTACCAGCACGGCCGCTCGGTTCATCAGTCAAGACCAGCTACAGCCACAGAAAACTAGTTTGTGACGACTGCAGCAAGGGGGAGAAAGATGGCAGTCTCTGCACGCAGACAGTTTGCAACATATCCCCGCTCCTAATGCCTGACTTCACTGCTACGCTGAGGAGTTTCTACAACTCATCCAGGATGGTGCGGCTACAGCAGGTGTTCCATTTGAGGCTTCGCGGATCAAGAAACGGTCGTGCCGGTTGTGCATGGAGGCCAACATGGACGCTGGTCTTCACTTCAGTAGATGTCAAAAACGAAGATTGCTTTTTGGTGGTTTCTGAGTGTCTGTGTATCTACATGTAAGGAGGTCCTACAGCGTGCGGCGGCCTCGCCATTACTGATAGCAGAGTACGGCTCCTTCTGGCCGGACCGGTTTCCTGTCGACCGAATCTCTAAGCATCCCGTGAAGCGAGCCATTCTTTAAGGGCTCTGTGCGCTCTGTGCAGTAAGCAGGACCTGCCGGCAATGCACTTGCTGGCCCGTGGGGCCACTGCCTGGGCCCCAAAGGTGGCCAGAAGGTCTCCCTGAAGGGTCGCAGCCTCCAAGGTCGCCTATCTGCATGGGGACGTCTCTTTGCGCACGTACCTATCGAATATGAAGGAGGCAGGATTCGCTTTGCCACTGCTGCACATGTGCAACAACATCAGCATGTGCCTTCTCCCACGAAGACACCCAAGAGAGGCTAACGGGTCGCCTGGAGAAGTTCGACAAGATCTGGATCCACGTAACGACGTTGCCTTCGGTCGTCTTGGATGCAAGGACATCTGCCCGCAGTCGCTTCTTGCTGCCCCTGTCAACGACCCTGGTGAGGACGGGCTCATCTGCCGCGGAAGATGCATCGACTACCGCAGCTGTGTTTGCAATTTGGCGCTCGCCCGAGCTCTTGCTGCCTAGCGAGGAGGGCAGCCTGATCTCAGGAGACAAATCTGGAGGTCCTTTAGTTCATAGTGACACGGACACGCGGCTGCAATTGGTGTCATACAAGCACGTTGGATCACTGTTTCGTTGAAGATGGGCTCTAGCGAGCATTCCGAGCTCCGGACCGTGTCTGCACATGTGCTCCCTTTGAGCTTTAGGAATGCTGGCCTGAAGATCAGCCCGGATGATGACGCTCGGATGAGCACTGACGACGACAGCACCAACCACAAGGATGAGACCTTGAGATGTTCCTGAGTCACTGGCGGTCGGCCGGAGGGTCACATGACGGACCAGTGGCGGCTGCAGCTTGCAGGCCCACCAGCTAAAGGAACACTTGTCGGGAACATGTCATGAGCAGCATGAGGAAGAAGGCTGCTGGAACCCAGCACCCGGTGTCAAAGGGTGTGCGGGCGGCCTTCCAAGAACAAGCCGAAGCCTTCGAGGAGACGTAGGGATGTGGAGTGCAAATGCCACCAGCCACCCATCGGGCTCGAGCCTGCGATATCGGATAGCCAAAGGTGCTGCAGCTGTGCCATGTTTGCTGATGTCGGACGGTCGGATCTTTGCTTTGGGATCTGTATCCCTGGCCCTGGCCATGTTTCGCAAGGTACCAACCTTTTTGGCGACTTCAGCTCGGAGCTCGGTGAGCTCGGTTCCGCAAGGGATTTCAGGTGCGGGTGAGCGGTTGCACGTGAAGCTTAGCGGCACGCAGAGGCCCCCAGGCTGCCATGATGAACCTCATGCAGAGTGACGGCCTTGGTGATGCGATGCTCAGAGAGATGCGAGATCAGTGTCTTCAGGTTATGTGGTTGCTTGTTGCACTCGTTGTGCCTCAGTGCCCTCAGCGGCAGCTTATGTTCCGACTGCCGCGTTCGTTCGCCGCAGCTATTTTAACGAAGCCTTGGTATCTCATTGGCCATTTACGGCGGACGTCCCCGGCTTTATCTCGTATGGACATCGACTTCGATGTAGCAGAGATGAGCAGGCACCACGATGTTTGGTAGAAGCTTCGGGATTGAAAACTGCAGTCTCGGAGCAGTGCCCTTTGACCGCCCTCAGGTGGGTGGTAGGTGACGTGGATGACGATGAGGTGGCAGACCATAATGCGGCCGGGGAAGCGGATCCTGGGCTGATGTACATCGCCAGCATTGCATGGCCTCAAGAAAGCAAGGCGTGAATGAAGAGCCCACAGTCCGAGGAGACCATCTACGAAGAGTACAAGTCCCTGGCCGAGCTGGAAGAGCGCATCGTGGCACCACTGGCCTGCCGCAGAGTAGCTGGGAGATGGGATGGCAGCGAGTTCAGGTAAGATTGAGGGCTCAGGTCTTGGGCAGGGCTGTTTGAAGCAACAAGCATAGCCCTGGCCTTTCGGAAGTGGGCGTACCTTTAGCGACATGACCAACGATGAGGTTTGGAGGGGTGCAGGGCATGATTTGAATCGGGCTTCTTGTAGGACTATGCATGCAACCGTGCGGACGCCGGCAGCCGATGGGATGCGAAATCGTGCCCGAAGTCCCAAGTATGTTTCAATTTTTTCGTGTGGACTCACTGACATGAAGGACATTGAAGGACCGTACGCTTACCTGCTTGAATCTTTTTCTTTGGGCTTCAGAGAATTCTTTGAGCTTAGAGAGTTTATGCTTGGAGACAAATCAACCTTGCCAGTCTTCTGATTCTTCGAGCTCCTGAGTTCTCGGAGAGCTCGATCTGCATGTCTGCATGTCTCTATCCCAAATCTATGACAATGAGGCGGACAGATAAGTGAGCATTTAGTTGCAGGGCAGCATGGCTCCGTGAATGGAACTCCGGCGGACAGGGATTTCCATCTGTGAGTGGCACTTGCCGTGGGGGAACAACAAGCTTTGAACCACCAACGTGCGTGTGCAGCACTTTGCTGGGAGCATGGGCATGCCAAGGGCTTCAGACAAACACGGACGAGGACCTCGCCAGTCGAATTAGTGAGGTGGGGTGCTGGGGTGTGGTTTTAATTTGAAAGCAGACTCGGGCTTCCACAAGGAGCTTGTCCTTGTTTCTGCTGCAGTTTAGGCCTCAGGTAGCTAGTTGAGCAAGTCCACGAAGGACGAAACTGGTACATGAGCACTGCCTAAGAAAATCTGACTGCAGTGACCTCCGGAGCTTGACTTCTTATCTCATTGGAGTGGATGTTCAGTTCTCTGGAGCCGATTTTGAAGCATCAGTTGGTTGCAGCAGAAAGCCAGTTTTGGTGCTGACAGGCGCTGGCCCTGCGGCACACCGGGGCGTTGCAGCGGCAAGTGGAGAAAGCTCCTTGTCAGGGTATGGCGAACCCGTTTAGAAGAGTCTGACTCCACTCGAATTCTCAGGCTTTAGCAGGAACTTGCGTGGTGGGACGCTTCGTGGTTCAAAGCTCGACGGAAACGAGTGACTCTCGGCCGCTGATGGGCTCAGGGCCAGCAGAGCACATGAAGGGCATGACAACGAGCGTTGCCACACCGAGGAGAGAGTGGCCAGAGCGCAGCTGGTCGTTGAGAGGGGTCCAGAGTTGCTGCTGAACCGCTTGGTGCCGCCTTCAGCTTCAGCAATCTGCAACAATCCTTCAGCCGAGAGTGGCATTTGAAGAGTTTGAACAACGGTCTTGCGACCACCGCATGCCGAGCCTGGAGCGGAGCACGCTGGGTTTGAAGCATGTCTCTCTGGTTGGTGAAGACTGCTGGCTGGACTGTCATCATGCCGCCGATGACGCGGTTTTGGAATCGGAAAGTCTTGATGTCTCGGCGCACGGAGGTGAGAGTCTACACACTGCACAACCGCAACCGTGCTCGCCAAGGCGGGGAACTCAGGTCGAGTGGCTGGAAAGCTTCGAGTCATCATAGATTCCTGAAGCCCGGGAGAAAACTTCCCCGCAGTCGGGAGCAAATCAAACTCTGTTTACCATAAACCATGAAGGGCACGGAGAAGACAGACAACGACAGACATTTTGTATTCATGGTTCTGAATTCTGAAACCGACTTGATGCAGGAGATGAAGTATGGGTGGAAATACGGCACTGCGCTCTCGACCAAGCATCAGTCATCCTCAGAGATGACAGCCAGTCTCTTGACAGTGTGCAGAATGCCGATAGCATGTTGATACCTCTGTGCTTTTCTCTGCTCAAGGCAACCACACCGTGCTACACTATGCTCGTGTTTGTCGTGTATACCTGACTTGTGGCGAAGTGCCTGTACAGTGTTTGGTGGCCCAAGGACCCCTGAGCAGATGCTGGGCTACTTCTGCCTGTTTGGGAGTGTCCTCCGAGCTGAACGGGCATTAGACCCGAAGTTGCGTTTACTTCACACTTCAGCACTCCTTTGACTTTGACTTCTGTATTGTGGGTTGCCGAGGAACAGGTGCCCGCACGTACGGACTACCTGTGGAAGCAGTCGCAGATTCAGTGGCAGTCGCTTTGTTCAATGGTTCTGAGCTCTCTCGCGGAAGTGGAACTACATGCGACAAATTGTTTTGCGATGTTCCGGCTTTGCGAAAAGCCCCCGTGCCGACATTCCGGACCTTTGTGTTCGCATAGATGCTCTCTACACAGGTACATGTCGAAAGTGTATGCCAGCTGGTGCTCCAAGCTTGCTGCATTTGGACAGCGTGCATCGTGGTGCCAAGGACTGGAAGGCTAATCTTCATTCCTTTCTCTCAGGAAGTGCCGGTTCTTCAGGTTCGGGCTCGGTGGAATTCTGACACGAGCTTTGCACAAATCAGGTTCCGTGTTGGAGACATGGAGAGCTTTTCCTGCACTGTCTCAAAGAAAGAGAGAGAGACCACAGGACTCAGCAAGGGGGAGCAGTTGTTGTAGGCACTAGGGACTGTAAAGTTCGGGGGCGGGCTGACGCAACAACCGCACAACGCCTCCCGAACAAGCCTTTGGAGCGAATACCGCTCAAAAAACCCGAAAGCCTCTTCCCTACCAAACAAAATAGGGAGGGGGGTGCCTCGGCGCGGGTCTGCACGCGCAGACATGTAGCCGCGGGAACGAAGGAAGGAAGGAGGGAGGGAGGGAAGGAAGGAAGNNAGAGAGACAGGGAGAGACAGAGAGAGTGCCCTTTTTTCAGGAGACCTGAGTCCGTTTTTCCCTCCTCCCCACAAGGCCCAACAGCAAGAGTGGGCTTGAAGCCCGGGGGCCCTTGACAGCCCTC